CAGCTGGACAGGCGTGTGGTGGAGCAGGTGGAGGTTCTGACCCGCGGACAGAGAATCAATCCGGACTGGTTCGCCTGGAGGAAGTACCGCATCACGGCGTCTGTGGCTCACCGGATCGCTCACTGCCGATTCGTTAACGGGGGGAGCAAGACCCCGCCCCCTTCTTACCTGGCTGCCATCACAGGTAGGCCACGCCCCCTCACACCTGGACCCGCTGGTTCTGTCCTCAGGATTCTTTATCACTGATTAGGCAACGAGAAAAAACCTTTAAGGTCAAACTCCACTGATCAATGGACTGACTAAAAACCTGATCAATCGATTTGATCACTGATGAAGTAAAAAAGTTCTAAGTATTGATATTGTTGTGCGTAAACCAGGTGAAGGGCCGAGAGTCCAGACCAGAGCCATGTGCTGGGGTGTCGACAACGAGGCCGAGGCCGTCCGCCGGTACCAGGTGAGTGTCATCAGCGTCACCTGAATCGAATTCTTGAATCGTTTCATGTTGCTGTCACTGTGATGTCACTGATGATGTCACTGATGATGTCACTGTGATGTCGTCCCGTAGAAGCTGAAGAGTGCCGCGTTGGGTCGGCCCGTCTCCGTCCAGGACTGCGGCCTGTTCATCGACGCCCAGCGGCCCTGGTTGGCCGGCAGCCCCGACGGCATCGTGACGGACAGCCAGACCGGCCAATGGCTGCTCTGCCTGGAGGTGAAGTGTCCCTTCAAGCACCGCCAGAGACGAGTGGAGGAGGCCTGCAGGGAGGACCCGGCCTTCTGCCTGGAGATCCAGGACGAGGAGGGACAGCAGCCTGGAGGGGTAAAACTCAGAAAACAGAAATCCTTAGAGTCCAGTGTACAGATCCACTGATATGGAGTGTTTGTAGGTCTGATATCGATTGTTAGTGATCAATAATGGATGTTTTAGAGCCAAAATACATTAAATGTAATGTTTTAACAGCACGTGACAGCAGAGAACCTCATTCATAACTGGGCTTCTTCATCAATAACTGTGACTCTAACTGAAAATAGAAACAGGAGGATTAAACAATCTCTTCTGTTCATGTGGATCGACTGAGATGAGTCAGCTTGTCTCCTGATGGTCGTCTCTGTTTTCTTTGTCTTTCACTGTTTTATCACTTTCATTGGCCACTAAAGTCCAGATCTCAAATCATAATTAATTGTTGTTCTCTAGATTCAGTTTCAGGTTAATCTTGTGGATTAATCGTAGCAGCTGCTTGAGTTCCTTGAAGACGTTCCACCTCTCATCCAAGAGGCTTCATCAGCTCTGACTGACTGGTTGGGAGTTCCACATACTGATATCCTGAAGGATTCATTAACATCTGAGTTTAGGTTTCAACTGGGTGTTTGTTGCTCCTCCCCCTCGTTATGCGAGTCGTTAGTGCTCCCCCTGCCACAAAGGGGTTCGTTAGGGTCTTTGGTGGCTAGGTGTGACACATAATGAGGGGGAGGAGCCACAAACGCCCAGTTGAAACCTAAACTCAGGTGTTAATGGCTCCTTCAGGATATCAGTATGTGGAACTCCCAACTAGTCAGTCAGAGCTGATGAAGCCTCTTGGATGAGAGGTGGAACGTCTTCAAGGAACTCAAGCAGCTGCTACGATTAAACTACCGGAAGAACCATGACCTGGTGGACTGAGGATCTTCACAGATATGTTTCAGGTTCATCTGTGGCTGCCTGCTAACTTAGCTACTAGCCACTAGCATAGCATTAGCTACTGATTTCTTGTTCTCTGCTTGGGAGACATTTCTGAGACCACAGACAGAGAGAGAGACTCATCACACCTGAAGTAGCGCATTTATTAGAATAATATTAGAAAATGCCAAACATTGGTCAATGATCAGTCTGTCCCTCGTCCAGTCCGGTCTAATGTCCTCTCCTCGTCCTCCGCCAGCCTCCCAGGTACCACCTGAAGACGTCCCACTGCTACTTCACCCAGATCCAGTGCCAGCTGGCGGTGACGGGCCTGCAGCGGGCCGAGCTGGTGGTGTTCACCCTGAAGGAGACGGCCGTGGTACCGGTCGACTTCCAGCCCGAGTTCTGGGACGAGACGCTGTCCCGGCTGGAGGTGTTTTACCGCGACGCCGTCCAGCCGCACGTCAGGCAGAAGATGCAGCAGCAGGACGCGGCGGCCTGGACGCCGGAGCTGTAGAGAAGGAACGGTCCCACCGCAGGAAGTGTCCCCTGAAACACAGAGCTCCTCAGTTCCTACCTGTGGAGGGAAAACTCAGGAGACGCCTTCAGAGACTTCATCACTGATGGACCGACGACAGACTCCAGAGGGAAACTGAGACGTCTTCTTTTAGACAGACATGAGGAAAGTTCTGGACTTTAGGTTCAGAAAATCAGGATCCTCGAATGTTTCAGAAGCTTCCTGACACCAGGGAACAAACTCGGGCTTCTCTTAGTGTCGCTTTGCCAGCTCATTCTGCAGCAACTATTATTATTCTGCTTTAGAGGAAGAACAGCTGTTTGTTTAGGAGGAAGATTTGCATGCAGGAGACGAGAACTGTATTTAAAATGAACAATCCACTGACGAGCTGCCTGACGCACAAACAAAACTTGACATTTTCAGAGTTGGCATGTTGCAGCTTTAAGTCCGACCTGGGCTGTGTTCCAAAAAATAATCACTAAAAGTAGATTTAGTTTGTCTCATGCTCAGTGCCGACACATCAGGATGTCCTCATACATCTGGTTGGATTTTGCAGTGTGTGAGCCGACACGCCTTTCTCACCCACAATCCTTTGCAGAGTGGCATCACGGTCTGTGGTACGAGTTTGAACAAGCTTAAACTGTTGACAACGCACAAACACATGACAGTTTAATCCACAAGTCACTCTGCAAAGGTTAGGGTGCATAATTATGAGAAACTATCATGTATGAATGTACGAAACAGCACGACGCAGTTTGAAAAGAAAAAGTGTGTGATCTGGACCGCAGCTCAGTTTGTCAGAACCAGGACTCAAGATGTTTTCATGCACAAAGAAAAGACGTCTTCAAAGACATGTGAGATAAAATTTCAAGGAAGAAGCTTAAAGAATACGGATTAAAACTCTGAAAATTAAGAAAAAGGTACGAAAGGTTAAAAGAACTGAGAAAAAGTGTCAAAATCCTTTAATTAAAAAGAAAAATTAGTTTTAAGGACAAACACATTTTAAAGGAAAAACTCACCTTTTTAAAACTTATTCTCATAATATTTAGTATTTTTCCTCAAATATTTGTGGATTAAACTAAACGAGACAAATAGCAACAAGAAAAAGTCAAAATTATGAAGGAAAACTGAAAAACTGTAAAGAAGAAAATCTACATTTTGTAAAAATGAATCTAAATTTTAATGAAAAAAATGGGAAGAAAGTTTTCTTGTCCTAATACAGTATTAAAGAAAAATAATCTTCAGAAACTTGTTAAAAGCCAGCAGACTTAATGCAGCAGAAACACAGACGATAAAATCTTTTTGTTTATATCAGTGAACTGAAGCCTTGAATGAGAAATACGAAGAAGTCACTTTAAAATCATTTATCAGTAACAATAATCATGAATTAAGGTCATCAAACTGTTTGTCGGTTTGTTTTTGCTGCTCAAACTAACAGAAAACCATCAGAGCTGTGAGTCTGTTTCAGTGAAGCAGCTCTGATTAGCTGCAGGTTGATCACAGCGCCACCTGCTGGCTGCAGCCGCCTTCATCTGCAGCTGATGTATTAAAGCTTCTTCTATTTTTACTACAGCATCAAACCCAGTCCGTTAAATATCAGCCTACAGATGTTACATTTGAAGAGTTTTCAGGTCAGATTTTAGGAATTTTACTGAAGAACTAAAAATAAGGGATTTTTAAAACTATTTTTAAAAGAATCTGTATTTAATATTTTTGTGCTAATAAATAAATTCCCTTATTTGTTGCTAAATGTGACTGTCTGAGTGTTTTCTTTGGTTAAAACTATGACCTGCAGTCCTGTGATGTTTACAGAAGTTATTGAGCTTTAACTAGAAGAACGTTGCAGAGTTCAGATGTTTACTGGTTCACACACACATTCATTATTTCTGAACAAATAATGAATCTGAGTGTGAACAGGAATAAAGGCTCAGACACATGTTTTGTTTTTCTTCGTCAAGAAGATCTGAGACTTAAAGTTCTTTTTTCAATATTACAGGCATTTTGGGGACTTTTTGCTTATTTGCTTTCTTGTTAAGAAGCTAAGAGGTTTGAAACCTCTAACTACTGAACAAGCAGCTACAGCTTTGTTTTAAAAGCTCATCAGTGAACACATCAGAACCTGTTTAATCTGGACAAAAACAACGTGAAAAGTCGGAGAGCTCACTGACGTGGTTTCCTCTTCGTAAAGCCTGGCCAGTGTGAGCAGAGGCTTTAAAACATGTTTTTGCATCATGCACAGGTGAGTCCAGAGGTGCTTTCATTATGCTGATGTGATTCTTAGCTCCGCCCAGCGAGGATGTGAGACGGTGGTGAAGAAACCTTTTGTTCCAAAGGGCACCAGATCTGTTAAACCAAACCCACGAAGATGCAGCTTTTATAGAAGGCTTCAGAGGAGGATTCACCTGTTTCCTCAGTCTAAGCTCCTCCCACAGCCTCCTCTGTCCTGAATCCATTGACTTTCTTCTTCTCCTTCTTCAGAGTCTGTTGCAGGCTAAACAGGTCATTCTAGATGTCCTTCATCCAGCAACGTTCTCCAGTTCCTCCTCTTGATGGATCATGAGGCGTTCCCCGGCCAGATCAGACATTTAATAGTTCTGGTTCTACCCCTATGTCTTCTTCCAGCTGCAAAGAAAAGCTCCAAAGGAAGTCGCTCAGGAACCATCCCAATCAGATGCTGCTCTCCAGATGTCCAAACTCCTCATCCTATCCCTAGGACTGAGCCGAGCCAACCAACAGACGAAACGTTTATCTCATTCTTTCAGTCACCACCCAGAGATCAGAACCAAAGCTGAAGGCTAGATCCATCGGTACCTTCCAGATCAGCTCCTTCATCGCACCAACTGTTCGGTACATTTCCCAAATCACTGCTGATGCTGCTCCAATCCATCTCAAGCCCCATTTTCCAACATCTATGAGCAAGACCCAGAGGAAATCCTTTACTTGAGGCAGCAACTCATCCACAACCCAGAGGGCGTCATGGACTGGACTTCCAAGAACCAAGACTAAGATCGAGGTCTAAAGAAGCCAACAGAACCATGTCATCTGCAAAAAACTAAAATGTACCCCACATCCTCACCACCCAAGCTGCACCCTGAGATCACGTCCATGAACATCACAAACAAGACTGCAGCTCTGGAGGAGTCCAACACCAACAGGAAGTTACATCACATCTCCTCGACTCCTCCACATGCACTAAACAATCCTTTAAGATGGCGGAGGAGGAACTATACAAGAAGTTAGCATCATGAAAAGCACCAAGTTCTCCTGAATACATCCACACTGGCTCCTCCCTCCTGATGACATCACAAAGGCTGTGAAAGATGATTGGTCGGGGATGTAGGCCGTCAGGTGTCTGTATTTGACTGAAGCTCCTGGACTTTGTGTTTGTTTCCACTCAGAACTTTAATTCTGATTCTCTGCTGTCAGTAAAATAAACCACATTTAATCATTTTATTTTATATTTTTTTAGTCAGTGGAGCAGAAATCCAGACTTATGACCAACAGAAAACCCCTGTGAAGATGAAGTGAAGAAGAGAAGCTGAACACACGATCTGATGTTTTTATTTATTTGTTTTTCTCTGGATGTAAATATAATGTTTGATGTCTGCTCCTTTAAAACTCAATAAAAGTCTGATGATATAAAACAGAATCGGCTGTGATGAGATGACAAAACTGACGGCGGCTTAAATTAACTCTGAGTCGTTCATGATTCATGACTCCTCCTCCAGAGTTCACCGTGACCTCACCAGGTGACTAACAACAACCAATCAGCTCGCAGCAGATCACCTGAGCAGCAGGTGAGACAGTTCAGAGAAGAAAACGTCCTCCAGTCCGCTCTGACAGCTGATTGGCTGCTGCGACAGGGATTATTATGGAGAGGGGGGCAGGGGGGGATGTTACTGGTGGGTGTGGTCAGTCAGAAGGTGGGCGGGGCCTCACAGGTAACCCTCCTTCCTGAACTGCTCGTGCAGGATGTCTCGGTACTCGTCGAAGCCGCCGTCGATGCGCCCGACTTTCCCGTTTTCACAAACCCACAGCTCCTTACACACCAACCGGATCAGACGCTCGTCGTGGGAAACTAGGATGACTCCGCCCTGAAACACATGACATCACACAGGTGAGGAGACGCACCTGAGATGCATCGCAATACACCTGACACAACATGGACTGGAGCTAACAGCTAACTGAGCTAACAGATACTCACTCTGAACTTGTTGAGGGCTTTAGCCAGAGCCTCGATGGTCTCCATGTCCAGGTGGTTGGTCGGCTCGTCCAGGATGTAGAAGTTTGGACTGAAGGACAAAAAGACGACATCATCATCATCATCGTCATCATCATCATCATCATCATCATCATCATCATCCAGCACTACCAGCCAATCCCTGAGCTCCGTTACCATGGCATGGTCATCTGTGCGAAGGCCACGCGGCTCTTCTGTCCTCCCGACAGACTGGCCACCGGCCTCGTGGCCAGCTCTCCAGTGATACCGTAACCGCCCAGCTGGTGGCGATACTCCTCCTCAGTCCGACCTGCGACACAAACACAGCAGCCAATCAGAGTTCATCCTGGAGCTTCGTTGTTGTTGCTGCTGTTGCTGTTGTTGCTGCTGTTGCTATAGTTACCAGGGAACTTGTTGAGCAGCAGCTCCACAGAGCAAACGTTCAGGTCCAGCTGATCGACGTGGTGCTGACTGAAGTAACCGATCTTCAAGTTCCTGACGAGACGAGAAAAGCATCAGCAACAAGACTTCAACAAAAAACAGTTTCCCGAGGGTACATGAACAGTTCCCTGTAAGTTCTGGTAAGTAAGTTTCCTAAACACTCTATATATGGTTCCCTATACAAGAGTGTAAAAAGTTGTCCAAACAGAGAGTAAAGGTTCCCTAAACAGTGTCAGCACAGAGTTAAACAGTACCCTAAGACAGTGTAAGAAAACTGACTAAAAAGTTTACTAAACCAAGTATAGAAAGTTCCCTAAACAGAGTAAACTCAGGTTCCCTTAAAAGTGTAAAACTTTGGCTAAACAGACAGTAAAAGGTTCCATAAACTATGTAAACTGAGGGTAGAAAGTTCCCTGAAAGGTATAAAACTTTCCCTGAGTTTTCCTCATAGGAGTGTGAAAAGTTTCCAAACAAGGAGTAAAAGGTTCTGTAAAGAGTTCCAAAAGTTTGTGTTCGTTCGAGTGTCAGAGGTTCTCTGAAAGTGTGTAAAGTGTTCCCTTAACAGAGAGAACAACATTCCCTAAAGGGAGTTTCCAAAGTTTCCAAAACAGTTTCACCAAAATATTAAAGGTTTCCTGAACAGTGTGAAAAGTTCCTTAAATAGAGAGAAAACGGTTCCATCAACGTTGTAAACTGAGGGTAAAAAGTTCCCTGAAAAGTGCAAAACATTCTCTAAAGGAGTGCAAACAGTTTCCTAAACCAAGAGAAGAAGGTTCCCACAAGAGTGAAAACACTTCATCAGATAGTCTACACACAGTCCAGAAGGTTCCCTGAAAAGTGCAAAATGTTCCCTAAACGAAGAGGAAAAGGTTCCCTAAAGAACCCTCTGAAAATGTTCCATAACAGGAATAAAAGGTTCCCTAAGGAAGAATGTAAAAGTTCCCTGAACAGCGTCAAAGGTTCCCTAGAAAGAGAAAACATTACTGAAGCTGATTCTCAAAGGTTCCCTAAACAGTGTGAACAGAGGCCACAAAGTTCTGTTGAAAATGTAAAACATTCTCTAAACAGATTGGAAACATTCCCTAAATATTGTAAACAGATGTAAAACGTTCCCTCAACATGTTCTACAAAGTTCTCTACATGAATCAACGGTTCCCTAAACAGCTTGTTGGCTTCGTACCTGTGAGCTTGTCTGACTCCGCCCACTGGCGTCAACTCGCCCATCAGCAGTTTGAGGACGGTGGTTTTACCGGCGCCGTTTTCACCGACCTGCCAGGAAACAACACGATAATGAAACCAGTTCCTTTAACAGCTACTGGTTAACTGGTTTTATTGATCACGATGACACGTACGATGCAGATCCGAGACTCAAGGTCAGCTGACAGGTTGAGTCCAGAGAAGAGCCGCTGGTCTGGACTGTAGTAAAACTCGACTTCATCCAGCTGCAGGATGGGAGGCGACAGCTTCTCAAAGTTATCTGGAAACCTGCAGCAACATTCAACAGATCATACGAACCGATCGGTTAAAGGTATTAAAGTTATTCTGAGGACCATGAATCAGGGCTCAGTCTGGACTGGTCACCACAGACGTTCATCTCCTCACCTTAAAGTGACCTCAGTTTCTTTTTCAATGGGCTTCAGCTCAGGTCTGCAGGAGAAAACCAGAGTTACTCACAGCGACACAATCAGAGGATCAATCGGATCGATCGGATCTGCACTTACAGCCTCTCCAGCAGTTTGAGTTTACTCTGGACCTGAGCTGCTCTGTTAGCGTTGTACCGAAATCTGTCGATGAAAACCTGAAACACAAAGTACCGCAAAGTGTCAAAGAACACGCAACATGTTGGTCTGTCGCTGGACTGAAGTACTGCAGCAGTAGTAGCATCTGTAAGTACTGCAGTAGTAGTACCTGTATGTACTGTCTGTA